GGACGCTGCTGGGCAACGTGCTGGTGTGCGCGGCCGTCGTGCGCGACCGGCACCTGCGCGCCAAGACGACCAACGTGTTCATCGTGTCGCTGGCGGCGAGCGACCTCTTGGTGGCGCTGCTGGTCATGCCCTGGAAGGCGGTGGCCGAGGTGGCCGGCTTCTGGCCCTTCGGGGCGTTCTGCGACGTCTGGGTGGCCTTCGACATCATGTGCTCCACGGCCTCCATCCTGAACCTGTGCGTCATCAGCCTGGACCGCTACTGGGCCATCTCCAGGCCCTTCCGCTACGAGCGCAGGATGACCCAGCGCGTCGCCCTGCTCGTGGTGGGCCTGGCCTGGGCCCTGTCCGTCCTCATCTCCTTCATCCCGGTCCAGCTCAACTGGCACCGGGGCAAGGCCGGCTCCTGGGCCGGGCTGGATCTTCCGGCCAACGGCACGACGTGGGAGGAAGCCGCGGAGCCTGGGATGCGGGCGGAGAGCTGTGACTCCAGCCTGAACCGAACCTACGCCATCTCCTCCTCGCTCATCAGCTTCTACATCCCGGTGGCCGTCATGATCGTTACCTACGCGCGCATCTACCGCATCGCGCAGGCGCAGATCCGCCGGATCGCCTCCTTGGAGCGGGCGGTCGAGCATGCGCAGAGCTGCCGGGGCCCCGCGGCCTGCGCGCACCACCCGGGCCTGGGCACGTCCATCCGCAAGGAGACCAAGGTCCTCAAGACCTTGTCGGTGATCGTGGGGGCCTTCGTGTGCTGCTGGCTGCCCTTCTTCGTCCTGAACTGCGTGGTTCCCTTCTGCCACCGCAGGCCCCCCGGCGGCGCGCGCGGGGCCGGCTGGCCCTGCGTCGGCGAGACCACCTTCGACGTCTTCGTCTGGTTCGGCTGGGCCAACTCCTCGCTCAACCCCATCATCTACGCCTGCAACGCCGACTTCCGCAAGGTGTTCGCGCAGCTGCTGGGCTGCGGCCGCCTCTGCGCCCGCACCCGGGTGGAGACGGTGCGCGTCGGCCACGAGCTCCTCGCCTGCCACCCAGACGCCGGCCTCCCCCGGGAGATCGCGGCTGCCTCCGTCCACGAGGTCCCCAGTGCGGTGGCCCCCGGGGACAGAGAGATGGAGGAGGAGGAGGAGGAGGAGGAAGGGGAGGAGGGGGAGGGAAAGGAAGAGGAAGAGGGGGAGGAGGGGGAGGAGAAGGAGAGGGAAGAGGGGGAG